ATGCAGCTTACATTTTTTGGTGCTGTGAAGACTGGGAAATGGGGCCTTCAGCCAATTAACAAGTAAATAAACGAGACCATCTCAGATCATGACGAGTGACAGGAAGGAAATAAAATGGGGTAACTCAACAGGGATGGGGAGGAGGGGCATGTTAGATGGTGTATCAGCTTGGCTGCTTTCCTAGAACCCCAATACCAGTGGCTTACTTAAGAGGGAGGTTTCCCTCTCGCCAGCCTCTAGCTGGGGAGGTCAGGGCTGGCTCCCCACCCCGATTCAATTCTAGCCTGGAGGAAGAGAACAAGGGTGTGGAAAGCAGGGCCCAAGAATTGAATGCATCACTTCCATGAGTCACCGGCTACCGCAGCTCAAGGGAGGCTGGGGATTTAGTCTCTTGCTGGGTAGCCATGTACTCAGAACCTTGTGGGAGGGGTGCCTCCTTTGGGTAAGGTGGTTGAGTGGTGACCTCCTGACAGTTTCCTGACCCTTGTTCTTGACTTGCCCTGCAGCAGCCAACTCCAAACAGCCGATTCACATGGTCTACGTCCCCTCCCACCTCTACCACATGCTCTTTGAGCTCTTCAAGGTGAGGAGGCTGGGAGCTGGTGCTTTGTGGGGAGCGTGGGTAGGGCTGGCTTCTCCCATGCTTCTCTTACCTCTGCCCCTCCGCAGAATGCCATGCGGGCGACTGTGGAAAGCCATGAGTCCAGCCTCATTCTCCCACCCATCAAGGTCATGGTGGCCTTGGGTGAGGAAGATCTGTCCATCAAGGTATGTGACCCTTTGACCTTGGGGACCAGGGAGCAGTAGTGGGGGCTTCTCTCCTGCCAGGAGATGGGCTCTCCTTTTCTCCTACATGGTGGGCAGATCTTGGGGGTGGGGAAGACCATGAGAAGGTCAGGGTACCGGGCAGGGTGGGGGAACTGAGCTATAGAGAATCCCTGACACGTCCCCTCTCTCCCAGATGAGTGACCGAGGTGGGGGTGTTCCCTTGAGGAAGATTGAGCGACTCTTCAGCTACATGTACTCAACAGCACCCACCCCCCAGCCTGGCACCGGGGGGACGCCGTTGGTGAGATGGCTTCACCCCAGCCCCTCCCACCTCCTGAGGGAGGCTTCTCTCCTCCTCACTCACTTCCCCTGCTCACTCAGCTCCTGTGTGGCCATCTATGACAGTCACCTGTCTTGAATCTGGGCCCCGCGCCTCCCGCATCTCCCCAGTCTGCACACATCTCACCTGTGTCAGATGTCTCTCTGTCACCTTTCCCCCATCTTCCCTCTTCTCTGTGGCTCCCAAACCCCCAATTTCTACCTTTCTCAAGTGTTGTCCAACTTGTCAGCACCTCCCTGTTAGAGAACTTGAGACTCAAAGGAGCCATGGGGCCTGCTCTGACCTCCTGGCCCTTAAGCAGAACTCCTCTCCCTGCCCAAGCCTCCCTCCCATATTCATGATTCCCTCATTCACCCCACACCCACTTCTTGCCTCAGTGTCCCCTCCTGCATGTCCCCTCCCCACTCCAGCTCTGGGACCCCCGCCGTGTGACTCCAGCTCCATACCCTTCCCTCCCTGCGTCAGTCCCTGCAGCTCCAGGAGGCCCCTGCCAGCCTCCTCATCCTCACTGCCTTCCTGCCCCGCTGCAGGCTGGTTTTGGTTACGGGCTCCCCATTTCCCGACTCTACGCCAAGTACTTCCAGGGAGACCTGCAGCTCTTCTCCATGGAAGGCTTTGGGACCGATGCTGTCATCTATCTCAAGGTGAGGGCCCTTCCTGCAGAGCCCAGCTGGAGAAGAGGTTTGCTGCTGGGACCTGGGCAGTCTTGGCCAGCTGCGAGCCTTCCTTTCCACTCCCCCAGTCCTTCCCTGGCCCCAGACTCTGAGAATCCAAGCAATGCTACAGTTCCTCAACCTGAAGAACCCTCAACCCCCAGACATGCACAGCTTCTCAGGGAATTTAGGGGAGTCTGTGGTCTATGATTAAGACCCCTGTGCTGGGAACCCTTGACTTGTTAGACCCAGAAGGAAGGGGACACCCTAGATCTTGCCATTCAGCTCAGAGGAGAGAAGACTGAGGCCCGGGGTCGGTGACTTGCTCAGGGTCACACAGCCCAGCCTCCTCCCTCTCCTCCCTCAGAGGGAGCTGCTTTCTTGAATGGGCAGGAGGGGGACACAGGAGAGACCACCCTTTCGTGGGTCTTTGCAGGCCCCCGTGTCTGGCAGCTGGGCTGCCGCTGAGCTAGGGTGGGGTGGTCTGCTGAGGAGTGGACAAGGCACAAGGAGGTAGGAGGGGCTGACCCTGGCACTCCCCAGGCCCTGTCCACGGACTCGGTGGAGCGCCTGCCTGTCTACAACAAGTCAGCCTGGCGCCACTACCAGACCATCCAGGAGGCCGGCGACTGGTGTGTGCCCAGCACGGAGCCCAAGAACACGTCCACGTACCGCGTCAGCTAAGGGCCGCCACTCATCTGCACCTGAGAGGACGGACTGCCGCCTCTGGGCCCCGCCACCGCGGTGCCCCTCACCGTCCTCCTGGGGGAGCACCTGGGGTGGGTTCTACCTGATGACCAGGCTCTGTCTCTATAGAAGTCACTGCGGTGATAGGTCTGCGATGGTCCCTAAGTGCCAGTCCATCTCCGTGGAGAGCCCTCGGTGGCCTCCCCATCTCTGTGGGTGATGCCTGAGGGTTGGGGATGTCTCCACCCTGATGGGTTGTCCCAGAGACATTTTCCCATGGCAGTCCTCCTCTCTGAGACCAGGGCTGTCACTTTTCTGCCAGGGGTACTGGGTCCCCCTCAGCACCCTCCACAGCCCAGGCCTTCCAAGTGGATGCTCCGCTTGCCTTATTCCCCCAGCCCACAGAGGCACCCTGGCCTTGGCCTGTTGAAGAGGCTGGGTGCCCTCCAGACCTGGGGACTGAGTGAAGAAAGGGGTTACACCCGTGAGTGGGGAATGAGGCTGGTCCTGCAGCCTCTCTCTCCACTCGGGACTTTGGTCGGTGGCAGAGGGGGTGGCTCTCACAGGGCCCAACCCTAAAGTGGAGGAACCTTGTTAGACCCAGAGCTTGCCACCCAGCCAAGCTGCGCGAGGCCCTGCAGCAGCCTTGGCAATGTCTGTGCCACCTCCCGAGCCCTCCCAGCATGTCCTCACGTGCTCATGCCCATCCACACCCCTCCACAAGCCCAGTCCGTCCTGCCTGAGTTCCAGCCCCCAGCCCCCACTGTGCCCAGACACGTGTGCTCAGGGTGGCTTTCTCCCAGGACCCTGTGTATATAGTTAGTTTTATAACCCTGAATGCCCCCACCCTTCCCCTAAGCACACGGGGGTTAAAGCTGTGTGTCCCTCCCAGTGGCTGTGGCAGTGACAGTGACACCCACACCCACAGTAAAGAGGAGACTGAATGAGACTGGCCTGGCTGCATCCCTGGGGGAGGGGACCCACACGTGCGCACGTACACGCGCACACTGCAGCGCCCCGTGACCACCACATGCGCGCTCGGGACGTCCAGCCCAGCTCAGGACCGTGAGTAAAACACTGGGCAAAGCCATCCGTGCAGAACGCCGGATGGCCCAGCACCTGGTGACAGACCTGTTGTCCCACCACACTCAGGGCCCAGCAGAATCTGGCCAACCCAACAGCTGGAGCAGACAAATTCTGGTCACTGGCACATCATAAGTGTTTACTGAAATAAATTGAGAACTGCCTCCCCTTCGCATGCAGGTGGGCACCCACTGTAGCTACTGATGGCTTTAAGGACGTGGGTGCCTTCCAACCTCCCATGGCCCTGCCACCAGGCCCAGATGGTGCCAGTGTCCTCATATCTATTTCCCTCCGAAGCCCCTCTCCCAGCACAGATAGCAGAGGGGGGATAAGGACTGAGTCCCAGGTACAGGGTACTGGCTGTAAGCCACAGCCCCTGGGCAGGAATGAGGGAGCCAGCATGCATTGGTGCCATCCGTCGCTCTGGGCAGATGGGAGGAGCTGGAGGGGTTTCCAAGCAGGAGCCCCCCGGCCCCATCGGTAACTCTGACTAGTGTCCTGGAAGCGGGGCTAGCTGCTGACCAGCGCCACACATGGACACTTCCTCCAAGGACATTTCCTAAAAAGGACACATGCTGTCCCCAGGCTGCTGGTAGACTCCACCCCCATCCAGGGAGCTGGCCCCAGCCCTCAGTATGGCCCAGCGAAGCAGAGCTTGCACTGCCTGCCAACTTCTGAGCCCACTGATTCCCTGACAATGCCTGGGGCAGATGGAGTGCTGATGAACCTTTCCAATCTCGCAGCTGCCAGGGACCCCCAGGTTTTGCCCCTCTGCCTGGCTGGGGTGACAGCTGACCAGGTCAGCAGCTCCTAGGCTTTGGCTGGTGGAAGTGGTGTCCTCTGTCCCTATCAGCTCCTGTTTGCTCAGCTCCCAAAGAGGGCTCAGGTGCCCTCTGAGGAAGCAGCAGGAAGTGAAGGGAGTCCTGGCTTGGAGAATGGGTCAAAGACCAGGTTTTGAATGGGCCCTGATAGGCAGACCTGTGTGGATGTCATCTCGCCCCCTGGAACCCACAGGACAGAGGAGGGGAGTGGGAGAAGGGGGTGTTCATCTTCCCCTCTTGAGTCCTGGCAAAGACTGCACTCGCCCCAGGCTGCTTTCTCTGCTCTCCTGTTGAGGAGTTTGGCTGGGAGTCTACCCTGAGTGCAACTTGCTGCAGCGCCCACTGGCATCTCAGGGGAGCAGGACAGAGCTCTCCCACCACAGAGCCCCCTGGGAGAGTGGAGAGGAGCAGCTCCCACACCTGCTTCTGCTGAAATGCCCAGCCCAGCTCTGAGCCCTGGGCCCCAGCCTCAGGGCCTCTGGCAGGCAAGCAGGCAGGCAGGCCTCCTAGCTCCCCTCTACCCCAGCCGCACGGTGGCCTGAGGGCAGTGGGACAGCCTGACCCAGGCTCCCAGACTTGCCTCGGCCCTGGCCTCTCTGCCCTCTCCCCTTCATCTGCTTCTCCCCCAGGAGTTCTGTGCCAAACAAGTCCTCAAAATAGGATTTATTACTAGGCCCTCTCCCTGGGGTCTCCCTTTCTGGGGGCTCTGGGTCCAGACCAAGTGACAGGGTAAGAGAGGGCATGTCCGCCCGTGATCGTGGGACCAGGCTAGCCCAAGCGCGGCGCCCAGGCCCAGCCTCCCTGGTGAGGCCTGTGCCCGCCGAGCCAGCGGCCGCCAGCGCCTGTGCACCCTCCCCTAGCTCTTCTTGGCCTCCTGCTCTCGGCGCCGGAGCTTCTCCCGCTGCCGTGCAGCCTTCTCCTGGGCCTTGCGCTCCTTCTCGGCCGCCGCTGCCAGCTCCTTCAACTTGCGCTTCACCAGTGCCCGGTCATGCGAGTTGCTGAGCCCCAGGCTCTGGGGAGGAGTCCAGGGTGAGGGAGAGAGTCCCAGAACCTTCCCAGTCCTGGCCCCCCACGCCCAGGCTCCTTTTGCCCCAGGTGTACTCTGGAGCTCCGAATCCTCCCTGGAATGGAGCCTCCGCCTCCTACACCGTGACCTGCCCGTGGATCAGAACCCCCAGAGCAAGAATTTGGAATGAGTGTGGTTGGGAGAGATGAGGGTTGAGGGTATTAGGCACTTCCTCCTCCTCCCCTACCATACCTCCACTCAGGATTTCAGCCTTGGCCTGGCCCTGCCCAACCTCCTGAGGCCCAGAGATGGGGAGTCACTTGCCAAAGGTCACACAGTTAGTCAGTGCCCAAGGACCCTCCTCACTTCCAGAGACTTCCTGGGGGCTCTTTTCACCATCCCTGCCCCCAAGCAATTCAGCAGAGAGCAGGAGACAGGCTGGGAACCTCCCAGCTTAGAGGTCAGAGACCACCCACCCCCTCCCTACATCCTCCCTCTGCCCACCATTACCACCAGCCTCTGAGACAGAATCAGACCAAGCTGACCAGGGGGAGACATGTGGCTTCCCATGACACCAGGAAACTCATATGCATCAAGGGTCATCCTAGAGGGCAAGGTCAGCCTGGAGACCAGGACTGGAGCTTGAAGGTCACACTGAAGTCATGGACTAGAGTTTCACGTCAAACTAGGGATTCATGCTACAACACAAAAGATTAGACCAAGGACCTTGCCTAGAGGTCAGAGGTCAGGGTAGTGGCCACAGATGGAGTGAAAAGGTCAGCCCAGGAGACTGGGCTGGAGGGTCAAAGGTCAGGACAGGGACTTCCAATCCTTGAAAGTCACCTCAAGTAACTGGGCTGGGTCATGGCCCTTCTGCTCTGACCCACCTTTAGTTTGCTTCCATCCAACTGCAACAGCTGTGGCCCGTCTACCTGCCGTGCAGCAAACTCGGCAGCATACTGTTCCAGGTTGAGGCTCTGCAGCCACTGGCCCACCTGCTGGCTGGTCCAATGGTGGACAGGGGGGAGGGGTTCATCCAGGAACTGGGCAGAGACCAAGGACAGTGAGGGGGAGGCTTGGCTTGTGACCTGAGCACCTTGCAGAGTCAGAGGTCAGGACTCTGTGGGTACCCTGGGCCAGCCTTGCTCACCTCATCTGAAGACTGAGACAGCGTGTGGTAGGGGTAAGAACATTTGACCTCCTGCCGGGGCCCACTGGGAATCTTGGGGCTGCTGCTGGGGGGTGTGGAGTCATCACTCAGGGTGGATTCCTAGACAGAAGAGGGTGCATGCCACTGAGGAGAGTTCACCCCCAACCTACCATCCCTATCTGGGTGGAGCCGAAGTCCTGGACTAGGCACCAGGAGTTGCTCAGTGCCCCTATGCATCAGCCAGGAGCTGGGCCCGCACACAGGACATGATAACTCATGTCGGGCATCAGGACCTAAAGCTTCCAGGAGAGCAGGCAGCCATCTGGAGCACATGAGGTTAGAACCAAGCCAGGTTAGTAGGAATGGAGGCGGTCTGAGGCAAGGTATCACTTCCTACAGGCAGCCCACCGGGATTCCCCCAGGCTGGGTCAGGCATCTCTGCTCTGTGCCTCCCACCGAGGCTCTAGTACCCCAGCTAATAAGTGCCTGATTAGAGGTCTTTATCCTCACTGGACTGTGAGCTCTAGGAGGGCCTGGGTTTTATCTTGTTCATCATGGTGTCCCAGTGCCCAGCAGAAGGGAAGAAAGAAAGAGAAGGAGGAAGGAAGGAAGTTCCAGGTCCGAAGGGATTCTTTCTCCCCCAAATTCCCAGCTTCTGATTTTCTCCTCTGCCCAGCTAAACATAAGAAACAGAACCATAGAACAAGTACTGGGCTGGGGGTCTTAAAGCTTGGCACCTACATCTGTGCCAGTCTGTGGGCAAGCCCCTTCTCTCTGGGCCTGCCTTTGCTCATCTGTACAATGGAGATGAGTGTGCCTTCCCTCCCTACTTCACTGAGCCTTTGTGAGAGTAAAGCAGAAACGCGTTTGGGGCTTTGTAAACTGTAGAGGGCACTCTGAACATAAGCAGATGCTCATCATTGCTGCTTTTACTCGGTCTCACATCACATAGGTTGTAAACTTTCAGACCACTAGGCTGGGGTCCTGTTCTTCTCTATATCCCCCAGGCCTCACCCTACCAAGCAGGTGGCCCAGCTCCTCACACAGGAGTGGGGTTAGAACTGAGCCGGGCAGAAGAGTTAGCAGGAATGAAGGAAGTCTCCAGCTGGGGGAACAGTAGGGAATCAGTGTCCAGTGATTTGCTGAATGCATGAACCAGTGACTGAATCAAGGAATGAACTCCTCAGGATATGAAAGAGTGGATGAGTGAATGAATGAATTCAGAGAATGCAGGAAGTAACGGATCACTGCATGGCTCCATTGATGGACACATCGATTCCAGGAATGTCTGAATCCCAGCCTGAGCCAGGGTGAACTATGCCCTCATGTCACCTAAGACTGGGGGCCAGTTTGGGGACAAGTAAGCTATGGACTTACCTGGGAAGCTGACTTCTTAGGGCTGAAGCCCTCGTGTTTAGGGGAGCAGGCGGGGGAGGTGGTGCTACCCGAGGATGCTGAGCCCTTGCCGCTGTCTGTGAACCAGGAAAAAGGCAGGAACGGGGAGACCCCTGACCTGCCGGACCCCTCCACTGACTCCCTGCAGAGAGAGTATCCAGCATGGGTGTGGGTACAGAGGGGAGGACCAGGGCACACGGGGAGCCGGGGTGGGAGCTGTGGGTGGGCCGCCGTGGGCACTTCTCACCTGCTGCCCATGGACAGGCGGTTGCTGCCTTTCTCCTTCCGGCTCTTGCCTGTGGATGCTCGGCGCAGGGTGACCCTGTGGGGAGGAAGCAGGAAGTGGAGCAGCGCTGCCCACTGTGCTACCCCTTACCCCAGCATCTCCAAACCGTGTGATCTAGCCCTGCCTCCACTCACCCCAGGTCCAGGAACTTTCGGCGGGTCTTCTTATCCAGGCCGATGGTGGGGCTGGCGGGCTCGGGAGGACTGGCGTCACGGCTGTCATCTTTCCAGGGAGAGAAGGAAGGAAATTGTCTGTCTGCTGCCCTGCCTGCCTCCTTCGGCTGCCAGTGTGCGCTGGTAGAAATTCTCTTGACTTGGAATCAGGCAGCCTGGCTCTGGTGACCTTCACTAGCTGGGTGTCCTAGGACAAGCTACTTTATCTCTCTGGGCTTCCTCTATTTTAAATATGGGGATAATAACATCCACCTACTTCATGGGACCTAACGGGATGCTTATGACAGCCTTTTACAAGCTATAAAATGTTCCAAAAAGGTAGGAACCACTACTACTCAATTTTATCCTGGCTAACTTTTTTTTCTTTTTGAGACGGAGTTTTGCTCTTGTTGCCCAGGCTGGAGTGCAATGGTGTGATCTTGGCTCACTGTAATCTCCACCTCCTGGGTTCAAGCAATTCTCCTGCCTCGGCCTCCTGAGTAGCTGGGATTACAGGCACCCACCACCACGCCCAGTTAATTTTTTGTATTTTTAGTTGAGACAGGGTTTCATCATGTTGTCCAGGCTGGTCTCAATCTCAAACTCCTGACCTCAGGTGATCCACCAGCCTCGGCCTCACAAAGTGCTGGGATTACAAGCGTGAGCCACCACACTGGGTCTGTCCTGGCCATCTTCTAAACAGCCTTCCGACCTTGGCTCAAATGTCATTTCCAGGATGTTCCCAGCCAGGCCAGGAATCCTGGTGTATGCTCTCCTGCCACGCTGCCACACACATTTCCCAAATAGCACTTGTTATAGTTTGTAGCTAGACATTTAGTTAGAGGATGATTTGATTGGGTTCTTGTTTTGTTTTGTTTTTGAGGCAAGGAGTGATCATAGCTCACTGCAGCTCAGAACTCCCGGGTTCAAGCTATCCTCCCACCTCAGCCTCCCAAGTAGCTGGTTCTACAGGTGCACACCACGCGGGGCTAATTTTTTAATTTTTTTCTGGAGACGGTCTCGCTGTGTTGCCCAGGCTGGTCTGGAACTCCTGGGCTCAAGCGATCCTCCCACCTCAGCCTCCCAAGGTGCTGGGATTACAGGCGTGAGCCACCAGCCAGGCCTGATTCGATTGTTTCTCCACTAAACTACTATGATGATAAAGGCTGCATGTGTTTGCTCACCTGGCTGTCCCAGAGCCCACAGGGTCTGGCACTTAGTATGCGTTCGGTAAAGAATGGGCGAGCCGCGGCGTTCACTCTCCACCTCCCTCAGCCACTCTGCCCAGTTGCCCCTTCCGCGGCTGCGGTGCGCGCCGGGACCGGAAGGGCTGCTGCGCCCCGGAGCGACCAGCAGGGGGTGCGGCGCTGGCCGCCTCTCACCTTCGCTGTGCGGCTCTGCGCGCGGGTGGCGGCGCACGAAGCTGGGGGAGCTGTCGGAGGAGGGCGCGGAGCGCGGCGGAGAGCAGGAGGCGGCGGCCAGGCCCTCGTGCGAGGCAGCGTTGTGCAGGGGCCGGTAGCGCGTGAGCGGCGAAGGCGGCGGCTCGTCCTCGTCCAGGCTGCGCCGCAACCCCGGAGGATCCAGGCAGAAAGCGCCCCCGGCCGGGGACCCCGGGCCTGAGTGCAAAGGCGAGCGCAGCCGGTGCAGGGGGCTCCCGCAGCCGTCGGTCACCTGGACGAGGGGGCAGGCGCTAACCGAGAACCCTCTGCCTCCCTTCCCGAAGGAGCTGGGAGACTTTCACCCTGTAAACTGCGGGCCCTGAGGGTCCTTCCGGGGCCTAGAGGGAGGGTTTCCTCATGGGGGGTGGCTGGAGAGTGAGAGGTGGGAAACAGGAGCTTTGAGTCACATAGGCTGGGGCTGAATTCCCCCTCCTTCACTTACAGTGACACTGCTACTGGACCTCTCAGGGCCTCAGTTTCCTCAGCTGTAAGATGGGGCTAATAATATCTTCTTTACAAATGATTAAATGAGCCAGAAGTGAACTGCAGCTAACACTTGTTAGCATTACTAGGTCAGAAGTCTGGGGATGTGGTTTCCCTGGAAAAGCACTTTGGAGAGTATCCAGGGGTGGGAGGGGTGGGAGGGTGTATGTGTGTTTTCCTAACTTGCCCCAACCTTGCCTCCGGGCCCGTCGGAGCCTTCACCATCCTCTGCGGAGCTGGCACTGTCTCGAAGCCTGGAGCGGGACGGCCGGTGTCTCCGGCCCTTGGCCAATAGTTGGGCCCGGGCCTTGTGTAAACTGCTGTCCAGTCTAGCCGTCTCTGGCACAGCCAAGTCCAGGTCTGCGAACCGGGGGAAGGGAGCAGAGACCAGACACATGAGAGGTGATGGCAAGCCCAGAGGCCCACCTCAGGGGCCACCTGCACCCACAGCCCAGGCATTCAGCCCGTGTTCTTGAGTGCCTGGAGTACAGACAGATGAAAAACAGGGTGTCTCCCCGTCTCAGGTGGGAGTGGGTGAGTGTTCAGGGGAAGCAGACATGCCAGCACTAAAATACAGCGCGGTGTGATGAACCCTCACGGAGATACGGAGGAATGGCAGCCCTGTTAGGATACATCAGAGGAGGAAACACCAAAGCTGGGTTTTAAGGTCTGGGTAGGAGTTTGTAAGAGATGAGGTGGGCAAAACAGGTATATGCAATGCTAGGAAGTAGGGAAACAAGGGTGGTACCTCCAGGGACAGCTGGAGGGTAGCTTTGTGGAGAGAAAGGTTGGGTGATGAGGCTGGAGAGACGATGGAAATAATGGCTACCATTTAGGAAGCACTTACGACACATCAGACAGTGTACATACATCATCTCTCACTCAAACAACCTGGTGGGGTTGGGACAGTTACTGTGCACACTTTACAGCTGAACAAACTAAAACTTAAGTCACTTGACTAAAGCCACCAGCTAGCAATGGTCCAGGATTTGAGCCTGCCTAGTCTGGTTCTAGAGACTGGCCCTACTGGGGACACTGACTTGCTGTGCCATGACAGGGTCTCACTCAGAGACAGCACTGCTGGGCATCTAGAGGGCTTGCAGTTGGAGTGGAGCAAAGAGACACCCCCAGAATCCAGTGGCAGTGGCAGGAAGGAAAAAGTCCCATCGTCCCCTGAAATCTCTCTCCTGCCCCGGGTCTGTGACCCAGTGCTAGGTCTTGCACAAGGACACGGAGGAAGAGTAGGCAGACCCAATGGGTCCAGCATAAAAGTCCTTATTGCTCATAGCTCCGCTTGTCATGTGCTGTACCTCGGAATGAAGCCCTCATGCTGTACCAGTCCTGAGCTTGGCACTGGGGTCTCCAAACAGAAAGAGTCTTCCCAGGCTTCAAGATGGGTCAAGACCTTTCCTCCCTACTCCACCCACCATGATCTCAGGGGCTCTATTGCGTCACCCATACCCACCTGGCCTTGTCTGATCCTCTTTCCTGTCTGTAGACAACCCCTAAGCCACCCCAGTTGCTCTCCTGACTTAACTACCACCTATTTCTATTTCCAGCCTTGACCCCCTCCCCTGAATTCCAAGCATGGGCACTCAGGCATCTGCCAGGGAAGTTACCATGTCAAAAGGCCCAAGGCATCTCAAGCTCAACTCATCAAAATGAACCGATCATGTAACCTCAAACCAGCTTCTCCTCTCTTCCTTGACTCAGTAAAAAGCCCCCTTGTCCACCCAAGTCACCCAAGTCAGACAGCCCTAAGCTACCCTTCTCTCTCAGCCCCAGACCCAGTTGGTAATTCATGTGTCCAACTGTCTAGTTGACACCTCCACTTTGATGTCCACCAGGGGTCTTCAGCCTACATGTGCTGCAACCTCCTGATCTCTACGCCCCAGAGCTGCTCCTCCCAGTCTTGGTGAACAGTAGCTCCATGCTTCTAGTTGCTCAGCTGAACCCCTGGAGTCATTCTTCACTGCTTTCCCTTCCATCCTACAAACTGATTCATCCACAATTCCTGTTAGCTCTACTTTCAAAAGATAGCTAGACATATTGAAATATTTATGGTGAAGGGATATGATGTTTTGGACTAGGTTCCATATAATCCAGGGCAATAGGGGGAGGGTGTGGATGGAATAGATATGAAACGAGACTGGCTGTGACTAGGTATTGTTGAGGCTGGGTGGTGAGTTCTTGAGTGCTTGATAGAGTACACTCTGCTGTAATCTCTAATTTTGAATCTGTTTGAGATTTTCCATAATAAATTATTGTTTGTGCAAATGTATACACATACTCCTATATATGTGTATATATGAAGAGAAAGGGAGGAGAGCAGAGGAAGGGAGAGGAGAGGAAAAAAAAGGAGGGAAGAGGATAGGAGGAAAGGGAGGGAAGTGAGAGGGAGAACTCACAGTCTCTTAGACCAGAGGGTCTAAACTGCCATCATCTTTTAGCCTGGATTATTACAAACAGCCTCCTAGCTGGTCTTCCTTCCACCTCCCTTTCCCATCTACAGTCTATTTTCAACACAGCAGCCAGAGTGATCCTGATCAAACATGTCAGTTTATATCACTCCCCTGCTCAGAACCCTCCAGTGACTTCTATCTCATGCAGATTAAGAGCCAAAGTTCTCCCAGTGGCCTTCCAGAGTCAGCCTATGCTCCCTTGCCTCTCTGAGCACTACTCCTGTCCCTCCACTCCAGCCACCCTGGCCACCTGGCTCGTCCTCACACAAGCCAGCCTGCACTGCAGGGCCTTTGCACCTCCTCTGCCCTTTTTCTGCAAGGCTATTTCCACAGATTTCTGCACGGTTCTCTCCCTCACTTCCTTCGTCTTTGCTTAAATGCTTTCTCTCACTGAGGCCTTCCCTGACCACCCAACTTATAATAGCCCCCCTACTCCAAAACCCCACTCCTTTTTTTCCTATATCATTTCTCATTCTCTGGCATGCTATATATTTTGCTTGTATCATTTAATGTCTCTCTCCACCCGTTAGAATGTCAGCTCCATGAGGACAGGTTTCTGTTTTGTTCACTGCTCTACCACAGGCAGAGAACAGTGCCTGGCACACAGTAGGTGCTTAGCACACCCTTTTAATGAAAGAAAAAAGTTCTGTTGATTGGCCTCCTCACACCCATGGAACCTGGGCTCTCCTCTCCCTCTGGACTGAACTGCCTTAGCTCAGGCCTTCACCTGAGTGGAGGGGAAACTGCCCACACCTGCCACCCCCTGCCACCCCAAAACATACGACTCTCCCTCCTTCGCTCCCTGCCTCCAGTCTGGCTCCTCCTTGTACCTTCCATGTGACTAGAAGAAACTTTCTGAAGCACATTTCTTTTTCCCTCCCCTCCCCTCCCCTCCTCTCCCCTCCCCTCCCCTTCCCTCCCCTCCCCTCTCCTTCCCTTCTTTCTTTGACAGAATCTCACTCTGTCACCCAGACTGGACTGCAGTGTCATGATCTTAGTTCACTGCAACCTCCACCTCCCAGGCTCAAGCAATTTTCCTGGCTCAGCCTCCCAAGTAGCTGGGACTACAGGTGTGTGCCACCACACCTGGCTAACTTTTGTATTTTTAGTAAAGGTGGGATTTCGCCACATTGGCCAGGCTGGTCTTGAACTCCTGGCCTCAAGTGATCTGCCTGCCTTGGCCTCCCAAAGTGCTGAGATTATAGGTGTGAGCCACCACGCCAGGCCTGAAGCACATTTCTGACCATGTCCCATACTCTCCTGCTTTTGAAACTCTCGCAGAAGGGGTCCCAAAGCTAACAATATAAAGTCCATGCTATTCAGCCGTCTATTCAAGGCCTGAGGAGCCCAGCTCACCCTTTCTGTGTTCCCCACAGATTCCTCCTCTTATATGACTATGGCTAAGAGCACTGGCCTTGGAGCCAGATGGCCAGGCTGAAGCCAGTTCTATCACTTGCCAGTTGGGTGACTCTAGGCAAGTTACTTCCTTTTAGGTGTTAGCTTTCTCATGTGTAAAATGGGATTATACTAGCACTGTCTTCCTTATAGGGTGGTTGTGAGCATCAGATAAAATAATCCACGTACAGTGCTTCACCATAATGCTATGACTTAGTACGAGCTCTACAGGCGCTCGCTGGTGATGGCGTCTGTGGAATCAACTGAATTGCGTATACTGATACCTATATGTGTACCTGCCCCTGCTTCGCTTCCCACCTCCATCCCTGTGCTCCATCTCTCTCCAGCCCTTCTTTGTCTGGCTAATCAACTCTGGCACAGCACCGTCTGGCAGCCGCACCACACTACCATATGGTCACGATATGGTCGGGATATGGTCGCCAATGACTATCTCCTCATGCTGGCCTGCAACCTGCAGAGGGTGAAACCCTTCCCTGTCCACTGTGTATCGTGAGAGTCTGGTGTGGCTCCTGACAAGGAGCAGGTGCTCAGGAAGTGTTGAAGCAAAGTCACACTTCCATGGACCAGTGCATGCTTTGGCGAAGATGGACTCCAGACACACACGGGTGCTGATGAAGGTCACCTCCACGCCCATGCCCACATCCCATCACGTCCACATTTCAATCCTCTGCCCAGCACTCCCCACCATCTAGTATGTTCCTTGTTTATTTATGTGTGCTTTGATCATCTTCCCCCTACTTGCCCCTGCACGAAAATTTGAGCTCCATGAGGACAGTGATTTTGTCTGGCTTGTTTGTTGCTGTCTCCCCAGAGCCAAGGACAGAGCCTGATGCATATTAGGAGCTCTATAAATATTTGTCGAATGAAAAGACAGGGGGAGACTGGGAGGCTACTACCTTAAATGTGGCAGCCAGACTAAGGTCTGCCATAAAGAGCCGAGGTTGTAGAAGGAATAAAAAGAGCTTTCTAAGGAGAGGGAATGGTGCAGCCCTGGGCTTGGAGCATCTGGGGAGCAGCGAGGGGGCCAGCACAGCCTGTGAGGGGACAGGAAGGGTCTGGTTGAAAAGGGAGGGTGGACACCTACAAGAGGAGATTGCAGTTGTCCAGGGGGCAACCTGCTGGTGTTTCCAGTCCCTGGGGCTGTGCTGGGGGAGGGAGCCCTCTGTTCCCAGCCCCTGACAGAATCTCCAGGCACTGCCTGGAAGCAGCAGCAAGGATTGAAGCTGAACCACAGAAAAATAAGAGCTAATCCTTATTGAGCTCTTACTGTGCTAGGCACTGTTCTAAGTGCTTTACAATTACTCAATTACTAGCTCATTTGAGCCTCCCCACAGCCCTACAAGGAAGGGACTCCAGGAATCCCCAGGGCAACCTTAATTTGCCCGAGGGCATAAAGCTGGTGAGGAGCCCACCAGGGTTACAGACAGGCGGTCTAGCTCTGTTGGTAAGCATTAACACCCTCTCTGAAGCAGAGATGGGAAGGAATTTTGAGTCTAACCTCTCATTGTATGGATGGGAAAACTGAGGCTCACATAGGATAGGAGGACATGTTTGGCCGAGGGGACAGAGGGAGTTAAGGACAGTGGCTCCCAGGCCAGTGGTCTGGCATCCTCTCCCCTTCTGGCACTTAGCTGGTGCCTAACCAACTCAAAACAGGGAGAGGGGCCCCTTGCTCCTGACTCTGGGCCATATCAGCACCATGGCCATCTTACCTTGGAGGGGCTGGGGAGCAAGGGGACTCCTAAGGGGCTTGGTGGTTTTGAGGCAAGGTGGGGCCAGCCTGTCCTGGGTCCTCTGCTCTACGAAGCTCTCCCTCCAGCTTCTATCTCTTCCCTCTTCTCTGCTCCAACCCTCCTTCCCTATCCTCCTCCCCCATCTCTCTCCCGCTTCCTTCTCCTCCCAGCCCTGGGCAGTGGGAATTCATAAATATTTAATGGCCTTTCACATCAGGAAGCAGTGAGGACCCAGCTACCTCAGCAGTGAGGAAACAGGCAGGGGTTGCATGTGGAGTAGAGGGTAGGGAGGTGGGGGAGTAGGGGCAGAAAAGCCTAGGGAAGGGAGAGCTCATTTCTGTCAGGCCTGGGCTTAAGTCTGGCCTGAGTAGGAAGGCAGTTCAAGGCTAGGGAAGCTGGAGGAGACTGGGATGGGAAGCAGCAGTTCCTGCCATGGCCAGGGGAGAGAGGGAAGAAGAGAGAGATGGGGAGAAGGAAAGCAGGGGAGGAGCTGGGGACCTTCTGGCATAAGAGCCCCTCGAGGAGCAGGCCACTCTCCCCCTCTCCCTTATTCCTCCAAGTTCCTTTGCTCAACGACTCCTCCTGACTCCTCCACCCGAATCCCGCTGGGAAACCGGCTTTCCGCCCCAGTGCATGCTGGGAACTCTGCCCAGCTGGGGTGGTCTCTTTCTCCAGTCCACACAAGAGAAGACTGCAGGGGGTAAATGATGGTACCGTGGTGTATGCATGCACCCCAGTGTGTACTGAGGACGTGGGCGTGCAGGCCAGCATGAGGGGGCCAGCCTGGGGGTATTGAGGCTGTGTGTGTTGTACATTTGATTTCAGCACACATACAAGCAGGGTGAGGTCCCTTGCACTTATTTATGTGACTTGGAAAACGTGTGTCATTTGGGCTGGAGTTTACAGGTGTATAAGATAGTCACTAAGAGCAGGAAGTCTGGCAGTTTGGGGTCCTATTCCCAGCCCTGCCACTAACTAGATACGTGATCTTGAAAGCAAGTGACTTCAGCCCTCTGTACCCTACACTCCTGGTCTGTAAACTGGGCTTACTTCTAAGCATTATTGTAAGGGTTAACGAGTGCATTGCATGTGAGATGGGGGTACTTAACCTAGTATCTGGCATAAGATAAGCACTTAATAAATGGGGACAGTTATAACTGATGTGTCCACTAAGATAGTGGTGAAAAAGGGTCAGGCCACAATACACACACACACACACACACACACACTCTCTCTCTCTCTCTCTCTCTCTGAAGTTAAAAAAGAAGCGCCCTATCCCCCTCAATGCCTGGTAGCCCAGGAAGGAAGTACTCTATGGCTGTGTCTATTGACTAGAGATAGAGCCACACAGAACTTACCAAAAACCTCATCCACGGGTTCTCGGAGCTTTGAAGAAGCCATGACTCAAGACAGCTGGGGAGGACAAGAGGGGAGAGAAAGAAAAAGAGAGCCTGGGTAAGAGATTCAGGCTGGCCGAGGCAGGAGAGATGTCAAAGGCTATCTGCTCCAGGCCTGTTGGCTCCTCCCCTTACCTTAGAACCCTTATTTTAGCCCCTGGAAGAGAAGCCATTGGAATCATAACCCAGATCATGGGCGCTGGGGCAGGAGGTATAGTAGGAGGGTGGGGGCAGATGTAAATCCAAGGCACAGACACAAGCTGAGCCCTGTGTTCCTGGTGTTCTGGTCCACTGATTTGCTGTGTGCCTTCACGTGGGTCACTGAACTTCTCCCCTTCACTGTCTTGGGCCTTCGCATCATTAGCATCCCCTAAAAGCTTTCAGTCATCAACAGTCCAATCAAATCTGGGAGAAGTCATGGAGATTATTAAATCCAATCCTCTCATGTTACAAATGAAGAAACAGAAGGGGGAGTGACTGGCCCAAGATCACATAGCAAGTTAATGGCAAAATCAGGACCAGGACCCAGGTTCTGCCGTCCGTCTACCCACCTATGCACTCATCCACCTACTTGCTTACTCATCATCCATTCACTCACCCATCTATCTACCCATCCAGCCATCCAACATCTGCTCCCATGCACCCAACATCTGTTGCCGTCTGTCCATCCACCTATCTTTGCATCCATAAATTCTCCATCTCTTTTCCAATCCTGCCTCCCTCTTCCCTACACCCCCATCACTGGTGCCCTCACCACCTGCCTTTCTGAACATGAGCTGTTCAGGAAGCTGGCACCATCAGCAGGGCCACTGTTCCAGACATAGTTCTCACAGTTCTTGACAGACTCACAGATGTAGGAGGGTATGAGGAGTACACACAGCACACAGTGGACAGCCAAACCTCTATGATGCAACTATGTTCTGGGAAGAAGTGTGAATGGGTAGGGTTTTCTTTTTTTCTTTTTTTTTTTTTTTTGGTTCAAGGTTTTTTGGTGGGAAGCAAGAAGGGAGGGCAGATAGGGAAGGATATATGTAGCTGAAACCATTTGAATAGACTTTCAAGCAGATGTAGGATTCCAGTAGCCCTAGGGAGCCCACTGGTCAGGGAATACTGAATCGGGGGAGAGTGAGGAAGCTCAGGGGCCACTGATGGTTTAAGGCAAGGGGACGCTGCGTGGCTGAGACTTGACCTCCAATTACGTCTAACACTCAGGTCCCCAGGAGAATGGCAAGACACTGAGCTAGATCATACATGTGTCAGATGTAGGAAGGCTAGGCCACACGCCTCCTGGGAGCTTTTCCAACTCTTCTTTTCCATTATTACATAGACATCATCTACCTTTACTGTGGCCAGCCTTGGGAATTTTTTTTTTTTCTTTTTTTTTTTAAGACGTTGTCTCGCTCTGTCGTCCAGGCTGGGGTGTAGTGGTGCTATCTCGGCTCACTGCAAGCTCTGCCTCCCGGGTTCACGCCATTCTCCTGCCTCAGCCTCCCGAGTAGCTGGGACTGCAGGCGCCCACCACCATGCCTGGCTAATTTTTTTGTATTTTAGTAGAGACAGGGTTTCACCATGTTAGCCAGGATAGTCTCGATCTCCTGACCTCATGATCCGCCCGCCTTGGCCTCCCAAAGTGCTGGGATTACAGGTGTGAGCCACCGCGCCAGGCCCAGGAATTATACAGATACATATCCCCACTTTACAGATGTGAAAACTGAGAAACAGGAGATGAGAGGAAGAACTAAAGCCAGGCAAAGTTGATGCATGCTTATAATCCTAGCTACTCAGGAGGCTGAGGTGGGAGGATCACTTGAGCCCAGGAATTCTAGACCAGCCTGGGCAACATTGTGAAACCCTCATCCCAAAAATAAGTAAGTAGCTGGGTGTGATAGCTCATGCCTGTAATCCCAGCACTTTGGGAGGCCAAGGCGGGCAGATCACCTGAGATCAGGAGTTTGAGACCAACCTGGCCAATACGGTGAAATCCCGTCTCTACTAAAATTACAAAAATTAGTTGGGTGTGGTGGTGCACACCTGTAATCCCAACTACTCAGGAGGCTGAGGCAGAAGAATCACTTGAATCTGGGAGGTGGAGTTTGCAGTGAGCCGACATCGTGCCATTGCACTCCAGCCTGGGTGGACAAGAGGGAAACTCTGTCTCAAAAAAAAAAAAAAAAAAAAAGTAAGTAAATAAGTAAGTAAATAAACAAAAGCAAAATAATAATAATAATAAAAGAGGCAGAACTCAGCCTTGAGCCAGGGCTCCTGCCCCTCTGCACTATCTTAGGTGATGATCTTCAGTTAGGGGTGGAGGAAGGGATAAGCGCAGAGGGAGGGAAGCTGCTCCACACTGACCAGGGCTGGGAGAAGCATCAAAACCACCTCCAGGCTGGGCGCAGTGCCTCACGCCTGTAATCCCAGCACTCTGGGAGGCCAAGGTGGGCAGATCACCTGAGGTCAGGAGTTCGAGACCAGCCTGACCAACATGGAGAAAACTGTCTCTACTAAAAATACAAAATTAGCCGGGTGTGGTGGCACATGCCTGTAATCCCAGCTACTAGGGAGACTGAGGCTGGAGAATGGCATGAAGCCAGGAGGCGGAGGTTGCAGTGAGCCGAGATCATGCCATTGCACTCCAGCCTGGGTAACAAGAGCGAAACTCCATCTCAAAAAAAACAAAAAAAAACAAAACCACCTCCAGATTCCATAAATGCCTGGGGCTGAAAGCAGAAAATGAGCTGTAGGAAGGGGTCATCAGGGAAGTAGACCCTCCAAGAACGCTCCTGCCATTCTTGAACTCCGGGGGCTACTAGCAAAGATCTAGAACATTTCTTCCTGTCCTGACAGGCCAGATGGGAAGGGAGGCTGACCCTAAGAATTAACCACATTTCCTCATTCAACCCACAAAGCCTTATCTGGCTAGGACCCAGCTGCCACCTCCTGCAGGAAGCTGTCCTAGGTAGCCCTCCCTCTCATTTGTCTGCATAATTTCTAAATCCACCCTTCTCCAACTACTGGGAAATGGGGAATTCTTCATACTTCATTGATTCCTTAAATAGGTCTCATCTCCCCCCCACCAATCAGATGGGTGCTCAGAGAAGAGAGGGTCAGACTAGTCCCGTCTAGTCCCCTCAGACTAGGGACTCTGAAGACAGGAACTGCCTCTCCCATCAGAATGGAGGCTCTCTGAGGGCAGTAGTGTTGTCTCCTCTCTGCCTCTGAGAATGAAGATCCTGTGTTCTTTATTCAAGAGCCCAGTCCAGGGTCGAGATCCTCTACTGGCTGGAGGCCTCCTCTTTCAGGCACCCTCTGGGCTGGATTGGGGTTTCCTGCTCAAAGTCACTCTCGGTCCATCCTGATTCAGCACAACTGCTCTCTTTTCTTTCCTTCAACAACTAACTTCCTGGGGTGTGTGCGGGGACTCTCCCTACATTGTCTCCCGGGGGTCACCAGACCCCTCCCACCCAACCTTCTCCTTCCAAAACTGAGCCTAGAAAAATTAGACACCAAACCCCGCCCCCACTCTCATGCTCACACATACCCCGCACACTCACACACACATTCAACCAGGTAACTGCACAGGGGTGGGTATGAACCGGTTCCTCTGGATACCCTTCCCCCCAAGGCTTCCAATCCCGGAGAAGGAGCACCAGTGACCTTTGACCCTTTTCTGAGAGAAAGGGAGGCAGGTGAGCTCACAGCCTCTTGGGACTCAGGGGAAGGAGAAAGAAAGAAAGGGCTCACAATTCCTGGGGAGGGAGCGGGAGCGGAAGGAAGTGAGGAGTAGGAAGAAGCAGAGACAGACACACAGACTGGCGGAGAGTCCACAGGGCTGCTGAGAAGAAAGAGATCACACCGAGAGTGGGGCCAGGGGAAGCGGCACTGGGGATAAGGGATTCCGCCGCCCTGAGTGACGCCCGAGGGTGGGAGAGAAGGGAGAAGCCCTTCGGGCAGGCGAGAGGAGAGGGCCCCTGAAGAGGAGAAAGCCACTGAGAGAAGTGCAACTGGGAGAGGCCGGGAAGAGGTGGATGGGAAAAGGAGACTGGTGGTCGGGGAGGCAGTTGTGGAGCCAGAGAGGTGGTCCCGCCTTCACATATCGCCGGCCGTCCACCGGCTTCAGGCTTGGGGTAGTCCTCAGGAGTCGGGGACCCCCTCAAAGCACTGTTGGAGATGGGGTGAGGTTGGGGATAGGGCACCTACTCCACTCCCAGAGCCCTTCTCCCCGGTCAGAGCCCGGTGGCTAGTTTCTCTCCAATCCATCAGCACAACTCCCCGCCGGGCAAGAAAGAGTTAAACCCTCTCCCCCTCCCCCCACACCAGCTTTTTATTAATTTCTCCGGGCGTCGGGCGGGAGGGAGGGGATTAGGGCCATAAATCCTATCTCCGCCCCCTCCCCTGACAGCCCGGCACCCCAGCCCCGTGCGGTCCCCCTAGGGATAGGGGAAGAAAGGCCCTTGTCCCTTGGCCCTGCCCAACCCCACTCAGGGTCCCACCGCGGGCCCAAGTGGCCCCAGCCCCAGTTCCCGGTCCACCCTAGGGAGCCCGGCCCCTCACCTCCGGCATCGGTCATCTTCAGCGTCCGGCGCCCCTGGAACCCCTCAGGCCCATGGTGCTCGAGGCGGGGGCCGGGCAGGAGAGGGGTGGGGGGACCGTCACCCCGGCCGCGGGGGGCTCCGGGCGGGCTCAAGCCGCTCCATCCCGGGGGTGGGGGTGAGGTCGGCAGGAAGGGTCCCGGAGCCGGGGGTGAATGGAGGGCGGGGGATGTGGGGAGAGGGAGCAGTTTCGCTGGAAGCAGGAGGCGCGGGCGGGGCCGGACCAGGAGACCTGACGGGAGGATGCTCCGTGTGTGTGTGTGCGTGCGTGTGTGTGTGTGTGTGTGTGTGTGTGTGTGTGACAGAGAGAGAGAGAGAGAGAAGAGCGAAGAGCGAGCGCCACCTCCCTCCCCGCCCCCGCCGCCCGCCAGGCCCGGCCGGACGCGGGGCCCCCGCCTGCCAGGGCCGATTCGCGCCGCGTCGCGTCGGCCGGGGTCCGCGGGGGTCCCCGGGGAAGGGGCGTCGGGGGGTGGGGGGGCGTGTGGCGGGGAAGCCGGGAGCCCAGGAGACAAAGAGCGGGAGGGAGCGAGGGGGCGGGGGCGGGGGAGGGCGGCGGGGAGGAGGCGGCCGGGCCGGGGGAGCGGAGTTGCCGCTACTTCTCTGCCCGCGGGAGACGCGGCGCACCGGAGTCTGCGCGGGTGGGAGCGGCTGCGGGGCCGCCCCGCCACGGGACCCATTCCGCCTCCTCTGCTGGGTCTGTCAGGGCTCCCGATTCGTTCATTCATTCAACAAACGTCCGCCGAGCAGCCGGGGCGCCGAGGCTGGAGGGGACAGAGGTGAAGAGAACCCCTCGCCCTGCAACCCGGCTCAAGGCCAGTGGGCCAATCGGGGGCGCAGACGAGTGAGGAGGCCCTCACGAGCTCGGGCGCCATGGGCCCGGCTCACAGAGGGCACTTCTCACCGGAAGGGAGAGCGCACCTTTGGCCCCGCCTGGGTCCCGGCGGCCGCGGCGGGGGCTGGGCGGGGGGATTCCCAGAGGAGGTGATGTGTTGGCTACAACTGCGGGCCGAGATAGGGAAGTGCCAGCGGGTGTTGGGGGTGGGAGGGCAACAGGGGAAGATAAATTTAATCTGGGGAGGTGCAGGGGGCTTGCGCTTTATTCTACCAGCCGCCCCCCGCCCCACCCCCTACACACACATGCACACACACAAATAACAGAGGAGGGAGGGGCTCAGGTGTGCATTTAGGAAGCACCCTTGGCTCCTCTGGAGACAGGGTTGCAGAGGACACCCTGAAGGCAGGGAGACGCTCTGGAGGCTATTGAGGGCCGGTGGCAGTGGGCATAAAGATTACAGATTAAGCTGAGAGCCCTTCAGGATGCAGGCCTGAAGAAGCTGACACTGAAGAAGCTGACAGGATTTGGGGACCTGCTGGACTAGGAGGTGAGGGAGGAGGGGGTCTAGGATGACTGTGGACCTTGGCTTGAGGCAGGGAGCCCTGGAGCAGGTGGGGGTGGGTACGGATGAGATCAGACTTGGACCCGGTGAGCTGGCAGCAGTGGCAGGCCAGCCATGGGAGGCAATGTAGGGATCCACAACCAGCTACTGCACGTCACAGCTTGGCAGGTGCCAGGCACTCTCAGATCATCTATTGTCACCTTCACAATAAACCCACAAGGTGGGTGTTTCCATTACCCACTGCCTCAGAGAAGACAGAGACTTAGAAGAAGGAAGTGGTGAAAGGCCAGGTGCAGTGGCTCATGACTGTAATCCCAGCACTTTGGGAGGCCAAGGTGGGTGGATCACCTGAGGTCAGAAGTTCAAGACCAGCCTGGCCAACATGGTGAAATCCCTGTCTCTACTACAAATACAAAAATTAGTCAGGCATGGTGGCATGCCTGTATTCCCAGCTACTCTGGAGGCTGAGGCATGAGAATTGCTTGAACCCAGGAGGTGGAGGTTGCAGTGAGCTGAGATTGTGCCACTGCCTTTCAGCCTGGCCAACAGAGTGAGACTCAATCTCAAAAACAACAACAACAACAAAAACCCAAAAAGGCAAGTAAGTGGTGAAGCTGGATTAGGGGTCTAGAGTCAAGGGAGAGGTGTGGAGTCTATAGGACAGAGTTCCCTGATGGCCCAGAGGACTCTGCAGTCTGAGGCCTCTGGGAAGTGGCCTGTTGAACCCCGACAATCTTGTGACTGTGAGTGAGGATGGAATTAACAGCCTTTAGGGTCTGAGGGTATCCTAGGGATTTTATGGGAGTTTGGGGGTCTCTGGGTGTCTTCAGAATCTTCTGGCAGTCAGGAGGCTAGATTGTAGAAATCTGGGGAAAGGGTGATGTCTCTGTTGACAGCTGTGGGGGCTGCATCTGGGGGTCTTAAAGGGGGATGTGCTTTGTAGGCATCTGGTGAGCTCTGGGTGGTGGGCTGGAGTGGGACTGATTATATAGCCCCTGTACATCCCAAGGGGGTGGGGAGATGAGGGGTATGTTTGCTAGGCCATAGGACCCAGGAGGAGCCCCTGTTCCCCCTATTCCTAGTGAGGCCTAAGCTTCTGGGAGTTGGGAAAATACCCCTTATTGGCAAGTGTTGGCAAACCTACTCAAGCTTCCAAAATTGGGCGAGTGGGGGGATAAGGGAGGTTTAAGGTGACAGGCCCACTTACAGTCACTTGATGAAGTCCCAAACATGGACATACTGTGTATCATGGGCAAGTCATAGCTCAGGCTTGAGAAACTCACAGCAAAGCCACACACGCCTCCAGCCACACAACACACTTGGGCTTAAATGTGAGGGGCTACATGGCCCACCATTTGAAACAAACAATGTATAGGCCCCTCACCTAACACACAGGACAGATGGGGAGTGGGGGAGAGACAGAGGGACCCCACCCTGGATGCTTAGCCCCAATCAGCCCAGCAGAAACCCTCAAAACATTCATGCCTGCCTCCCCACCCAGGAAGGTCACGCCACTTCACTTCTCAGCTAGGTTTCCTGAGCAGAGCCTTGGTGGCCCCAGGGTTCAGTGACTTCTAACTCTGGAGCTATGACCTGTGACCCTGTGGTTTGGTGGTCTCTGATCTTGGGGATCAGACACCTTGATCTGTCTTCAGCATCCTCAGGGCTCCCAGAGTGTTCCAACAATCGTCCACATAGCCAAGATGCCTTGGGAAGAGCATTCACCATCCCCAGGTTTCCAGACAACCCTCAGGTGGGAGGCAGGTTTGGACTGGCCTGAGGTGTAGACCTAGGGTTTTTGAGGGATAGCTGTGGGAAGCCAGCATTCAGCTTAGCATGAATGGGACCTGTGTGACACAGCCATCTACAGGGGATGCTTCTGGAGCAGACTGTCCCTAAGGGTGCTGGCCACCCATCTGGATGTTGTCAAGGACCCACCAAAGTGACCTTGAAGGGCCCTGAAGTTGGGACTTCACTCCTTATGGCAAAGGTGAGAATCCCCTAGTGCCACGCCACTGAGTGCCAGTGCCTCCATGCTTCAGGTCTCTCACATCTGCACACCAGCACCCCGGCAAGGAAAGACTGGCCTTGGGGCCTGCCAGAAGCTCCTGCCCCATTCCCTGCTGGCTCTCACCCCTCTGGGACTTCACCAAAGCTTGTCCCTGGAACCCTGGCACCTAGACTCCCAGACCCATTAGCATTCGAGCTGGTGAGTCAGCACACAGGCTTGCTGGCCCAGCACAGGGGCTGGGGCTATTTCAGGCCACTTGGCCTGCCTGAAAAGGCAAACAGATTTTCTAGGACCCTGGGGACAAAACTGCCAGGCGGTCACCTCCCACTCCCAGCTATCTTTTGATCCTTCACCTGCCTCACATGGTGTGCCTCTTAAAAGTGTCCCCACACTTTAGAGGCCTTCTGGGGGAGGGACTTGGGGTTCACCTTGCTGTATTTAGCCCATCCTTGGAACTTCATGGAGGCCCTGAAAAAGGAATACAGACTGAACGAACTCGCTAGAAACCCTCAGCCCTGCCCAGGAGGACTGGACAAAAAGCATAGGTGCTGCTGGGTGGAATGGGGGCAGAGAAGCAGTTTGCTGGAACCGGGTATGGGGGGGGGGACACTATAGGAAGTTCCTCAGGGTTAGAGGCAGCACTGGTGGGAGGGGACCACTGGGGCAGCCTGGCATCCTTGATCCCTGCCCACTCCCCACCCCAGTGAATCAAGAAACCAGGCAGCAAGGCTCTGGGGGCTGCTTTTATGGGGACGACCTGACAGAGGGCATGGTCCGTACAAAACCGGGAACAATACATACATATATATATTATATACAGAGACGCGGTCCTCCGGATGGCTGGGCAGGGGTGGCCCCGCCCACCCAGTTCCGCCCCCTCCATCTGCCGGGGTGAAGTGCGTGGGCCCAGGACTGAGACGGCCAGCTCCTTCAGGGAATGGGGGAACATCTGGGAATAGGAAGGGGTGGGGACAAGAAATACTGATCGAAGTCATGGTCTATTTACAGGGGACAAGAAGCCAAAATGGATGGGATAGGTGCTCTGGTTTTAAAAAATGAACAAAAACCCAGTTAGGGCAAGGGCATGAAGTGGCAAAATGAGATGGATTTTGAAAGGGGAGGGGACCTGGGGGGGGTCTCACCTCCCTTGGTCCAAGCCCCAATTTGGGGTTAAAGTGGGGAAACAGAGTCGATTTCACTTAGAAGGCAGGCTGCCAGCAGGGCAGCCCTGGTCTCCAAAAACATGAGTAGTAGTAAAATTTTGCCCTCCAGTCAAAACATTGGAAAAACAGTAGGGGGTTGGGGGGTGAGGCTGACTCCCTGCAATGTCAGTAGGCTTCCAGGCATTGCCCTGGGCTGGGCAGGCAGGGCGGCACAGGATAGGACCTGGCTCTCCAGGGAGAAATGTTCCCCTTGCCTAAGACCAGGGTCTCTGTAGCCAGACCCCCTAAGCTGACAGCCTTTCCTCCTGGGCATTCCCAGCCTTGACCAGGAAACCTGGACCCCAGAGAGGCCACATAACAGTTCCAAGAGGAGGTTATGGCTATTTGGCACCTGGGAGTGGGGAGGCACAAGGAGAAATTGAGGGCTGCTGCCCCAGGAAATGGGGAGCTGGGGACCAGGTGTCCTGAACTCTCCCTTTTTCCTACTCTCACTCCCCTTTTCCCGAAGGACACATGAGAAATCAGTGCAGGGCCAGGGCTAGGCCCAGCCTCCGGGCTCTGGGGTGGACTCTATCCCTCCCAGGACAGGGAACAGGGATGGGGGAGGTGTTGAGGCAATGCCCCCACCCCCCAAGCAGGAGGGTCGGAATGCAACAGAGACAGCACAATGATGGGGGAGAGGGAAGGGCCGAGAAGGTAGAATCTCAAGTCAAGAGGCCCAGGGGCCACCCAGGTGCCCCATGGGCAGGGAGCAGCCTCCAGTTGGCAGATGCTGGGAGAGCCCCAGCCCCGTTCCAGTCCAGAGACAAAAGCTGGAGTGTGTAAAGTCTGGCAGCTTGATGTGCAGGTGCTTGTGTCCATCGACCACCAGGCCAGCCCTTGGCAGCCCTCGGCCTCTGTGCCTCAGCCCCATGGGGCAGGAAAGAGGCCGCCCTTCCAGCCACCTCTGTCTGCCCAGGCCATCCTAAGGGGGCCTGTGATATGAGCCCTCTGGTCCCTGAAGCTGGGGGAGGTGGGGGGGAGGGGTGGGGGGGAGTCGGGGCACCTGTCCCCCGGGCTGGTGGGGGGGGGGGGGGGGGGGGGGGGGGGGGGGGGGGGGGCACGGGGCACCTGTCCCCAGGCTGGTGGGGGGAGGGGTGGGGTGTTGAGGACAGGGGAGGGAGGACAATGGGAGGGGGTTAATTATTGTCCTGTCAAGGAATGATTCCTGTTAAGTAGAATTGGAATTCCTCAGTGTTTGCAAGTTTCCTTCCAGTTCTGAGATCTGGAAAACAAAGGAGGGTAGGGGGTCAGGTCTGGACACCAGGCATGATCCCAGCCCCTTCCACCCCCCTGGT